CTTTTAAAAACATAACTATTTATAATGCTCCCTAAGTAATAAAAAATAAATTATAGTAATGGATGAGAGCGAAAAAGCTTGTAAATACACGACGATCCCCGTTTAATGTGGAGCAGAATAAGGCTCTTGATGTTTTGAGCTCTTTTTTGTTTAGAACAATATATATATATATTAATATTTAAAGTATCAAATTGAATTTTTGTTCAATAAAAATCTTTCAAATACGACTGTAGCTTTTTTTCCCCCAAAAACTTTGTCTTCAAAATAAGGGTGCGTCTTATATTCCGAAAAATACGGTACCAACCATGGTGTTGTAACAGTTAGAAACAATACAAATCACTGAACACACACACACAAACTACAGTCTCACTGGAGCTAAAAACCAGTAAGAAAATTGAATACATGCAATAAAATTGCTGGAAAAAGAAACAACCAAAAACATACTTAGCATGGTAGCAGTGAAGTTCACAATAATGAATAAAACAACTTACCAACAAACAGTGAACAAAACACAAGTTTTACATTTAGTACAAAACCCAAGATAGTCTCAAATGCTGCTTTGCAATGAAAATAGGACAAAGTAATATTTGACCTCATTCAAAGACAACTTCTCTCACAATGAATAAGCTAAACTAGCAAGGGTGGATAAAACAAATGAATTTCAGCAACTCGAGGGAACTTGAGAAGAACTAGATATAACAATAATAAATACTCAAATAGGGTTAGTCTGTTATTTGGAAAATAAACAGTCAATAATTTTTTTTTGTAATTTACTATGAACCAGAAAGAATGAAGATCACTTAAGTTTACTGAAGAGAATCTGTGGCCAACCTAAATTGTAAGTTTTTATTAATAAAAGATACCTTGAAAAATACATAACAGAAAACTAAATTATCCTAAAACAATACTAATAATGTCTATCAAAAACTTACTTTATCCTATAATTTTTTAAATCATCTTAACTTGAAATTGCATACTTTTGCTGAATTTTACCCACAAGTTTTGAGACTTAAGAGTATGCTAGTTTGTTTTGTTGAATTTTGAGTCAATATGTGCTAACCATCCCTAATTTTGAAGTAACGTAACAAGCAAGAGGGAAAGCAGCTAGGCAACACCATCCAAGACAACTCTGATCATGCCAAATAGAAGGATTTAGGCATAATTTTATAATGCAACCCTAAAGATCAATGCTAACCACCAAGCTGTACTTAGCCCTTAGAGAAATCTACATTATATTACTTTTACTCATACTTAATAAGTTTCACTCCACTTACTTGTATTTACAAAGTTGAGAATCTTCATTAACTGTTTAGTCACAGATATAATAATTTTAAAATTTACAAATACGTGATAGAAATTTAATTGATACATCTTTTGGATATTTAAAATATTTGTTTATCTATTGGTATAAGTCATACACCCACATAATCATTACATCAAAATTCTGCAGACTAATGTAAAGTTTAACTTCAATACCATGATATATACTGCAATTAAGAACAAAATATATTACACTGCCATCTAGTTTATTATAACATCAGTCAAAATAGGAAGTTAACTAAGAACTTAAACAAGATTTGGGTGTCTTTGGAAATTTTTAGCTTACCATTATGTTAGCAAACACATTTGATGATGAAGGCATTTGTTGAAATCCTGTCTAAAGAAAAAAATTAGGAGAGTATAATATTTTAAGTTATAGCACTTAAAATATTATGATTGGCACTTAATTGAATAAAATATCCTCTAAACCAACTGAAACTTTTAATTAAAAACATGAAAGAACTTGAAATAATTAATATGTTCACTTAAATGATGATGTAGCATTGGATTATCTGTGGCTTCACACCCAGTTTTTTTTGGCCATGTTGACCACATTAAACTAAAACCATGATTTAATTTTACTTATACCAAAAATTATGCAGAAAGCATTATAATAATTAGAAAGTTTCAACAAACAAATATTATCCAACACAAGGGGAAAAACATATTTGCTTATTTAGAGGTTATCTTGTTTTTTTCTATATACGTGCATATGACACTAAATTATGTGTTTTGATAAACAAAGTCTTTTTCAAAACTAAAACCTAATAAAAAAATAACTGGTCAGATATGAATGGGAAAACTTTAAAATATTTTCTACATCTGAAAAAACTATCAGATACATTAGAATGTATATGTTTATCACACACACACACACAAAAAAAATATATACCAAAGCCAAATGAACATTTAGAATTTTTTTAAATTTGGAACTATTAAGGTAACAAATATTTGCATCCTCACAATTTACATTAAATCGATAGAGAAACAATCTTTATCTCTACGTCACCCGAGTCTGTTGATCCGATTTGAAAAAACACTGCACAGTTTCACTATGTTTATGATAACTAGTAACTTTTTTTTCATAACAAAATTATATGAAAGCCACTTTTTCTTTAAAAAATGTTAATCGGAAGGTTTCAACTAATAAATGTATCTTTTACATCTCTTTTTGGTGATTTTTTTTCCCCCATTTAAACAGTTACTCAGGCTGATAAGGCCTAACGCAGTGGCTTTGTTGGTGAAACAAGATTTGATACCATCAAGTGCAAAATAAGTGAACTAAGTTTTCCTCATCCATGAAAAAAGATTTATTTCCTTTCAAACTGCAATATCATAATTCAAAAAAGTATAAAAACTATAAAGTATGCTTTAAATACAAATTATGGTTGAAATTTGGTAGAAGTTCTTAACAAAAATTGTTTCTTATAGCCACATCTTACCATGCTAAGCTTTTATCACTTTGTTATGATCTCTACATGAATCTCTGCTAAACTGGAAATCATACTGGCTTATACAATTGAAAAGAACAGAAAAAAAAGCTTTCATTACATTTTTAGATCACCAGCCTATGATGTTTCAAAGCTAAGATACGGGCAATTACTTCACACCATAACAACCAAGAGAACAGTGATTGGCCAAGTGAATAAAACTACATTTGTATTCAAGTTATAAGGCCAAATAAGAACCATTTTGTTGAAAACTATTATGGCTATCCTGTTAAGAGCTATGAGTGGTGTATTATACCAAAAAATTCAGGAAAGACACAAACACTAATCAACCCAAAATCAAAATTTTAGATTGGTAATTTTTATGTATAAAATTAAATAAATAATTTTTTTATCGAATAATTTTCAACAGCTAAGTTTTGTTTTTAATGTGTGGAATCATAATGATATTAACTACAATAAGCATATTTTGTACACCAATTACCAATGTACCGTGAATTAAAATCTTGATACAATCGATATATATATATATTTCAATTTAATAGTATTTTATCACTACCTGAGATGGAAATTGCATTGTAGAACTGTCTTCAGCCCCCATCAAATCAGGCTTCAATACTGAGTTGTTCTGGTTGAAGCCAGTCATTAAAATTGTGTTGTTTTGATTAAAGCCAGGCCTAAGATTCTGAGAGGGCTGAAAAGGTGTAGAGGCAGCCTGTTGGACAGGGAACAATGAAGGAGCTTTCTGTTGAACTGGGAATGTCAAATTTGCAGCATGCTGGAAATGGAACATTGAAGGAGCTGGCTGTTGAACTGGGAAAGAAAGAGGCATAGCCTGTTGAGCAGCAAACATTGGAGGACCCGGTTGCTGAACTAACAAATTTGAGGCAGCAACTTGATGGATAGGGAACATGGTGGAAGCTGGCTGTTGGACAGATGTAATAGTGGTTGACTGGTTGACAGAAGAAGCTAATGGGACAGGTTCCAGAAGTCCTAAAGAGGGTAAGCTGCTAACTGTTGTCACAGTGCTAGTTGATGATGATGAGAATACTGTGAAATCTCCAAATTCATCATGTTTGCTTAAAAACAAAAGCAATGAAAACAATTACAGAGTGTATGAAGTAACATCTTAGTATAAGCAAATAAAGAACAAAATGATAAAACACACACAGAGGTGAAACTGAAAAAAGAATCTGTGATGTACAGGCCTAATGCATTCTTTGATGGGTCATACCCTCTGCTGTGGACTACAGTTTCACCTATTCAAGACTCAACATCACAGCTTGTGTCAGCAAACCAAAGAAATACCACCATTAGGCCTCTTATAATGGTGAAGTGTATATAATATCTGAGGCATTTTGAGTGAAATAAAATGGATTTAAAACACCATAGATACACATGCACACACACACACTGAGTGTTTTTACAAAAGAACCACCATATAACATAAGTTTTTCAATGACTGTTGAATTTTATTGAATACAAGTAGAAGATGTAAAACTTCTTACAACTTTATTGACACATCATGCAAAGAAAAAACAATATTCTTTTGCCTGACTGTACCTATTCTCAGTACCTTCTAGTACCATGGTTGACCTACAGATTGAAAAGTCAGTTTAAATACTATTACAAAAGCTCATTCTCTTTGCCTGTTAACCTGTAGGTGTCTACCCAAAAAAATCATTAACTGTTACACAGCATACAACAATTACATAAAGTACTCATGTAAAAAACTTCTCCTTAGGATTATTTTACGACTTATCTAGTTAAAAGCAGTAAATCCTACAAAATTCTACAAGCAATTTAATTTTGTGTTTCTTGAGAATACTATAAAATTTTCAAATAACAGCAGAAGTTTTTAAAAGTGGAAGAAAATTGCTTTTATTTCTCAGTCAATTTCAGTTTTCCAGTTTACAGGCATTTTCATGAGAAAAACCATGTGTGAGGTGGTTCACATCTGCAATTGAAGTTGTGCATATAAACTGAACGGGTACTTAAAGTGGTGACAAGGAAACAGCTAGAAAACATCTGCTCCTTTAACATTACAAATATTTGCATTATATTAGCAGAGTTATTGATTTTATCAAAAACAAAAAAATATATACAATTACACAACAATACTATGTTCAAAAGGTTTATTTCAATTTTGATTTTCCTCTTTGCTTTCTATAAGATGATCTTCAGAACCATAAGGATTATCACATTTGTTCTGTGTTTTCTTCCTATGATTTTATATCCAATTTCTTGTAATCTTGAAACATTTTCAGTTCAATTTTATTGCCTTTGGCTGCCATCTCCTCTGTTTGCTTCAAGAACAATCACAATGAATTAGAAATTATTACTTCATACATTTCTTTGATAACACATTCCTGATTTCCTAAGTAGAAGTTAAAATTGTAATATTATGCATGATTTAATATGGCCTTTCACACACACACACGACAAGTAGCACACGTAATTAGATTTGCACATGGGCCAATGTATATGGGTGCGACAAGACATGACAAATGGAAAAGACTGAATTTATGTTGAGGAACATAATGTTTGTGGAAAATATCATTATATCCTGATGGTCTAAGAGGTAGAGTTTCTTAACCAAGGTCCTCATAAAACAAAAGAAACGAAACCTCTGGAACTTTGTTTTGTAAATAAATGAACAAATGTAAAAACATACACTTTGTATGTAACTGTATTTATGTTATGATGACAGAGCTTTTTGTTGATAATGTATTGAACAGAAGCTAGGTTTATTGCATAATTAGAACACATCACTTTGAAACAAAAGGTTAAACAAAGGTGGATTTACAGTAAAACATTATAACAAGGGATTGCATTGGAATTTATGAAGAAAACTGAAGTACAAAACAGTTATAATTTTTCTATGAATCAAGTGATAAGAGCTGTGTGATTTTGATTAAATAATGTTGAAGGGAACTTTAGCAATGAAACCTACCTAGTTTGACTGGTTTCGGATGCACTTTGAAACTGGGAAAAGTCTGCAAAATTATCATTGTCTGTTGCTACAAAAATAAGAAAGGTAAATATTGTTACAATAGAAGACTTCTTAATCAAGTGTAAACATAAGAAAGTTAATATTTTCCTCATATGAAAATGTATTTCTGATAGATACTCACCTTCTTACACAGAATACCTTCATTCGTCATGCATCTGTCTATAAGATTTTCTATATTACTAGCCTTGGGCTAACTCCCACCTATAAAATTATATGTCTATTGTGAACTGCACTATTGTAAGATATTATCATGTGACAATAGCCCTCTACCAATAGGAGGGCGACACACACTACATGCAAAGTAACTCCCCTTAAGTACTTGCACTCAAGATAACTTCACTCTTAGATGAGGCAAGGAGAAAATGCACCAGAAGTGGGAAGGTTTTGTTTGTTTTGAATTTCAAACAAAGCTATACAAAGGCTATACATGCTAGCCATCCCTAATTTAGCAGTGAAAGACTAGAGAGAAGGCAGATAATCATCACCACCCACCACCAACTCGTGGGCTTCTCTTTTACCAACAAATTGTGAGATTGACCATTACATTATAATGCACCCATGGCTGAAAGGGTGAGCATGTTTGGTGGGACAAAGATTTGAACCCATGACCCTTAGATTGTGAGTCAAGCGCCCCAACCATCTGGCCATGCCGGGCTGAATTGGGGAGGATAGAAGTATCTATCAGAAATACATTTTCAGATAAGGAAAATGTTAACTTCAAGACAATACCTCACCTTACTACACAATAGCTAGATTCTCACACAGAAGTGGTGGAGAGGCTGATGCCAAGAATTAAACATAGATGAGCTTCCTTCAGAAAGTGCCACGGAGTGTGACATCCAATGGCAGGGACTCCATAGGGGCACAGACGTGGGAGACCACATCTTGTATCAATCAGGGTATACTTTTTGCTTGGAATAAAACAGAGGGAAAGGCAAAACAGCCCAAAGTATCGCAGTGATGGGCAGAATTAGATTAGAACCAACTGAGCACCTGCATACTATGGTCAGCAGGCCAAGAAGCGTATTGTGGTTAAAGTGTGATCAGACCACACTGTGAGTGCTCGTCTCGACTCAATTGGACAGGCTTTTGCTGGTGCCATGCACAATGTTGAGGCACTCTCCAAGATCCACCATCACAGTGGCTAGGAACTGGTAAGTGACAAGGATCTCCTGTGCTCCAATGGAAGAAAGGGGGTAGAATTTGTGGTGGGGAGACCCAGAAAAATGCCCAGATCCCCATCAGGTACTCGCTGAAAAGGTCTTTTTCTGGAGACAGTGCAGTGGGAGACCACGTAACCCTATTTTTAAAAGCTGAGAAGCACAAGCTAAAGAAATGGACAGACACTTTCCTGGTGTTGGTTTTTTATATAATAGTCCATGGAAAGATACAGACTGGATCAGGCAATTGAGTAGTGTGAATAACACAAGGATATCTCTAATGGTCTTGCATAACACCCCATCTCAACAGTGGGCACTGATAAAGCCAAGGTGGATGGACTAAGCACTTTCCATTACCCCTGGTCTGATGCAGATTTTGGGAAATAGCATACCTTGGGAGGCAAGATCAGCCACTTGGCAGGATCCTATGAAAGAGAAAAGGGCACTGAAAAAAACATACTTTTTCTATTTTCAAGGACAGTTTGCAGATTGAAGAAAAGCAACCAGAAGGAGCCAATATCTTGCACAGAAGATGAAACAGTCAAATGGTGAATATAATGAGGGATGAATGTGTGGAGAGTTGTCCATTTGCCAGCTTCAAGGATCGGTGAAAATGAGATGCAAAAGAGTGAGAAAAGTGGCAAATGTGACGTGATGAAATGCGAAAAAGGCTGTGAGCATCGACATCCAGAGAAGCATACACTTCATGTGAATATGACTGAAAAATGTCATTTTTTCTGAAAAGGTGGTGTCTATTTACTTGTGATCATGCTGTGTATATATACATACATGATTTTTAATTTTTATTATGACATTGACTACAAAAAGTACACAAACTCACAAGTAAGTACTAAAGTTGTTTTTTATGTATATTTTTATTTATTGTTATAAAAATAATAAAATGTAAAAATAACAAACTTATTAGGTTAGATACGAAAAATAAAATGAAAAAATTCTCCACAAGGAATACACATTAGTTGCTGACATATGACATAATTCAATACAAAAAAGCAATAAAACAGTACAAGTAAATGAAATCAGTTGTGAAAAGATAAGAGGACTGAAGATTTTAGGATAACTGAAATTGTCTGTTCAATGTATATTCATTCTATAAAGAAAAAAAGGGTAATTTAAATTTATTTTGTATTTTTACATGGTTACAAGGTCAGTCAAATGGATTGAGCCAGCATACAGTGTTAGGGTAGAGAAAATAACAGATAAAACAAACTTTTCTCAAAAACATTTTGATATTCCTTTAGGATGTTCTAGAGGTTATACAAATGAAATATGATAACAGTAAAATTAAAAAGTTTTTTTTATTATTAACATCATTATCATCTTTCACTTGGACTGACTCAGTAAGGGCTTCATAAATTCAAAATCAAATTATTAATAACAATAATTAAAAAACTGATTTTTTTGTGTACAAATGACTTGTAATGTTCACTAAAAGCTTGCCAAATTTAATGAACATACGGTTATGGTATGTATGTTTTTGTGGTTACCTGTTGGTTACAAGGTTGATTAAAATGACCAAGCCAGTGTACAAAAGGTTCTTGACGCACCATAATGATCTGATCAAAAAGCATAGGAAACAAAATAAAATGATTTATTATAATAAAAATTTAACAGCTATGACAGCAATCTTACCCGTTTCGTTTGCGGAAGACCCAAAATCCACCAAATCTGACAAAAGATCTTGATTTGTAGCTGAAAGTTGTTTAGGAGTGGGATTTGAAGCTAAGTGAGGATTCTTAACTGGTTCCATTTGAGATGAAGTATTTTCTCTCAAATCTGTAGGCTGAAAAATTAACAATTACTCATAGATAAAGAATACTTTTGTTTTGGATATTTTCACACAGCTATATAAGGATTATCTGTGCTATCCATCCCTAATTTTGAATTGACTGAGGTGAGAGGAGGCAGCTAATCAGAAGCACTTAACAACTCTTAGCCTACTCTGATTGAACAGTGAGATTTGACTGTCACTCTTATAATACACCAATGGCCCCAAACTGCAGAGTCCAATTTATTATTTTTTGTAGTAATAGAACACGAACCATGAATCATTACATCTATAATCGGGAATGCTAACCCCTAGGCCACAACTGATCCCTTAAGATATAAAAACAGGGGATATTCAAGGATATTTCTAGGAAAGCTGAGAAACTACCACTTGAAGGTAGCCAGAACCTTGAAGCAGATGAAACAATATAAAGTAAATGAAAGGAAACAAATGTGTCAGGTAGCATTAAAAAACTTACAAGCATAAAACACCAAGGCCCTAACAGTAACTCGCATTTTGGTATTTTTGTTTCAGATAAACCAATAACAGCATCATAAGACTGTTATTTAATTCAGTTTTTGGGTTAAGAGGAAGTCTGAATAAAGATTATCTTCTAATTTTGCTATATAATTAGGCTTACATCCATGAATGACTTACTAAGGCCAAATATTTCATTGCTGCATGCGTTAATGTTGCACCATGTTACATACACATCTTAAGGAATTTGACATACAATACTGATATGTTAGTTACCTCTCTCTTTCTCTCAAACTCAAGTTATCAGTTTATTGTGATGTATATCCTAAAAAAGTATGAGATATGGAGCACACAGGGGAACATGTGGTGTACAAACTATCCTTTCCTGACATTAGGGACAAATAGATGTGTACATCATCATAATAATAATAAAAGTTTTGACTTTTCTTATAGGAGTGGTTCACTAATAAGTAAAATACTTTTATCTTAGAAGAAAAATTAAAATAATACAATGATGTTTTCTTAACCTTTTAACATTTTTTTCAGTATCTGCGAGAAAATCAGGTTTGCAAATTTTTCCTCGTCAGATTTTACACTGATGATCTAGTGAATTGCCAGTAGCATATCTAGAAAAGCAAGAAACCATCAAACGGTGGTTTATTTTCATCAACAAGAGTGATCTTGATCTTAGAAGGTAATAAAACAACAAATGGATTGCTGAAACAACTTGATATAAAAAAAAAACTTGTAACCTTGTTAATATAATGTACAAACAACTCAACAAATACTGATACTTATTTTAAGTGGTTGAAACTATAAAACATATTGCTTGATACACTGTTTTTAAAGACAGCTTTTATTTATGTGTAACCTAGAGTTTCACAAGACATGTCTTTTGATTTTTTTTTCTTTCTTCCATGAGTCATCATCTTGGAAGTATGAGGAGATGGACATAGCACAGAAATTTTAAGCTACTGCTTGAGACTTTTAGGGGTATTTTTGGAACTAAACTTAGCAAGTACTTTTCTTGCCAGTTATTATATACATAAAGTACCTCGAGTTTGGTTTCTTTTCCAAAATTTGCTGCAGCTCCAAGATCTATTTTTCGATTAGTTTTAGACAAGCCCCGTGTCTTCTCCAAGCTTTTTGTTGAACGATTTTCAACAGAATCAGAGTCTTCATCTTTGAAATCAAATCTTCCATCATTTGACTTTTTGTCCTCATCATTACTGTAAAAATTGTATTTCAGTTAATAAAACCTTGCAAACAATTTTAAAATTGGTCAATACACGTTTATATTTCCCAATTGCATCTATTGCTACAGATGTACAAACGTTACAACAACTGTAGAGTAGATACATTTAGGCTAGTACTAGAATTATAGTCGGTTTATCTATTTTTTTAAATTTTAAACTACTGTTCATGACTAAATAGCTTCCACCACAGAGAATATGAGTTGCATGTAGAAATTCTGAAGCATTAACTACTGGAAAATTTAAATTGAATCTGAAAGTTATTAAGCTGTCTATATTAATAGAGTGAAAAACAAACTCACCAAAGACAGTACTTGGCATTAGAAAAGTCAAAGCAATTAAACACTATGAATTTATTACATACATTACCATACTCTTGTAGGTTACACTGAACAGATGCAAACAATATAAATCCACTGAAGTTTTATGTTTGAATGCTGTTCAAAAAAAAGTTTGGTATACAAGGTCAAAACCACTTATACACCTGTACACTGCTTTTTAAGCTTCTTACCTGTCTGGAGAGTCTTCAAAACTTTTTCTTCTGCCAAAGCTCAACTTGGGTAGTCGGCTGCTGCTTTTATTGATGTCAAAGTCAAAATCATCTTTATACTTCTTATCGTACTTATCATTATATCTGAGGAAAAGAATTTCAAGAAAATAGTCACATAAATGTTCATTAGATTCAACTCCTTACATATTTTCACATGTAATTTCCATAGGTGTAATCTTTGAAAGTTTTAAATCAAGCAAATCTAGTTTACACACAAAAAATTACACAATGCATTATATTATCATTCCATGTTTAAAATTTCATTTAATTCAAAAATTAGTTTCAAAACATTTATAGCAATAATTTTGATTTTCCTGAAATATAGCTTAGATTTCTACATGACAAAGCATGATCTTAGATACTCCCCCTTCCTCCTTTCATTAAGTATACCTTAACTCACAAGATCTATTACAATATAAAACAACTCATCACATCATAAATTAAAATGTAGAAGTATGTAAATGTATATGAATCATTTAACTCAGCTATACATGTAACCTAACCTTATATGGAAACAAGATCTTGAAAACATGCAACATAATCTGACATGTACTATTGCTTGGATTTTAATTTCCAATTTCCCATACAACCTAAAGATGTACAGAATAACTATCTCAGTCAGATACATAGAACTTTACTTATAATCTCAAATTACAAGTCACAGAGTTCATTCAACCTCTAATCTAAAGCATTACATATTCCAATTTTGCCCATAACTACCTCTTATTCTACCCATACCCTAAAGGTTTAAAAACTGTATGTACTACCAATCTTTCTTGTAATCAAAGATGCAAATGTAACTTCCATTTCTTTTATATATAACAAGAAATCTAAGTCATTTACACATGATTTGATGAGAAAATAAGAGATTTATTTATAACAGTTCTGGTCTCTAGGTGTACCATGTGAATTTAAAGAACCTTGGCTTAACTGTTATCAATTTTAACATGGCACACACACTCAATATGTGGTGGCAATGGAATAAAATTGAAAATATTATGTAGCCTTAATCTTAACTAAAACCCAAAATTTAACAAAACTAACCTACTATCAACATCAATCTTGGCTTTCTTTGTATACAAGTTCTACTCTTAATTTACCTGTAACCTAGAGTTTCACTAGACATCCCAATGTATTTATCTTTTGATTTTTTCGCTTTTTTTCTTTCTTCCCTGAGTCGGTCATCATCTTGGATAAAGTCTATGAGATCTTTCACTCTTTGTCTCACTATTATAAAACAAATAATGATACTGAAATTTTTTTTAACCTTCTCTACATCTTGTAATGAAGAAGAACCCGAATAATAATAAAAATTTTTACTTGTACTTTTTAAATAAAAACACAAATAATAACATAGAAGTTTATTTTCCAAGCACATGCAGGAGCAGCAAAATACGGGAAAAAATTTCAAAATAATATATTTACAGGAGCAGCTGGCTGATACTTATTTTAAATGATTGAAACTATAGAAACATATTGCTAGATAAATTGTTTTTAAAGACAGCTTTTATTTATTTAAATCACAGTAAATATGCTTACAACAACAGGAGTTCTAATATATAGGATTTTTGAAAACAAAATCAGTAACCTAGTCTCAGCTATTGATTAAAAAATAGATTAAAAGAAAATGCAAATCCATTACACTAATGATCATTAATTTAAATAGATTAACTTTACAATAACATCTCTTGATATTCCTCACACACACACACACATTGATTACATGATACATCTGTGTGCTCAAAATGTTTTTTCTTTTTTAATTTGATTAAGGGTTGTTAAAAATAGTTATATATCTTGCATGCATTATGAAACGCACAAAAAGAAACTTAAAGGATTGGTCAAATATTTAAATACTTTTATATGGTCAAAACACTATACATGTTTTATAATTAGATTTTTGGTATAATCTTATTTGAACAAAAAACAAAATAGTTTGACTGTTATAACTTCTGTTGATCACAAATCTAATTTTTTCTTAACAAAAATAATTACTAATGTTTGACCTTTGGATTGAAGTTAAAACAAAGATAATCATGAATACTATTTAAAACATATAGTTAAGCAACTTTATCGAAGGACATAGGTGTGTCATTAAACTTCTACATAAATAAATACACAAAAATCAATGAGTTTTGTTATTATTTAGTTTTTATTCCATAAATTTTTGGCTCCAATACCAGGGCCTATGAGAAGTGAATTTTCATGTAAAATGTATAAATTGTTTAAACAAAGCTGGTAAAAGGAATAATCAAATATGGAAATTATTTTTCAAGTTATTTGATAATTTCATCCTAGGTTGTAAGTCTGAAACATTACCAATTATTTCTCTTCCCAACTTAAATATGAATTTTTATAAATACTTGCCATTAACCCCTTGATCTTTCCCTTGTTCATCAATAAATGAGTAATTTTCTAAGCTCCTCAGATCATATATGTGTTCTCGTGCACTAGTGACAACTCGTTCTGAACCATTCTTTACAAGATAACCAAGAACTAACAAGGACTGAAAGAAGAACAAATTTCATCATTATTGAAATGTACACAAAGCTGTTTTAATACAGTGTATTAAAGTCAACCTTTAAAAAGAGCATATTTGTTCTTATCCTTCTTAGATCTACTCTACTGTTTACATGACAAGCTGAAAATGCATTTAATAATATAAACACAGTAATAGAAAATTTTTATTTTTACATAAAAATTGAAATTGTATTTCTTATTTTACTCTAGTGGTGTGTACATACATATGATCAGGCATCTGTGCAATATATATATATATATATATATATCTGACTACTTTTTCAATGTTCCAAACTTTTTCAAAATAGATGATGGTGAAAACAAATATGATACGTAGTCTATTTTTAAAAGTAAGATTACCAACATGTAGTAAGTTGATGGAACCTCCTAGATCCAAAATTCAAGTTTGAAAAAGCATAACAGTACTTTAGTGCATGTCCAAGCTATATAAAAAAAAAGGTGGGCACAATTAGAGATGGTTGCTCATGGTAACCTTAATTTGAATGTCAATGATGTCTTCATGTCAGCTAATGACAGTTTACTATGCTACAAAAGCAGACATTGTATCAGATAAAGTGAAAAAAGAACTTGAGTTAGAATACAGTAGTAAAGTTCAGAAATGTATCATCAACATAATATAACAAGTTATAGCAGAAGACAGAAGAATGTACAGGTTTAATTGCTGAAAACAGATTATTTGAGATTTAAAACAAAGTTCAGAGCATCAACTACCTTCAAGAAGCTAAGTGTTCTCTTGAAAATAAGCAGTGTGGACTGGTATGTACAAAATACACCCTTGCTCTTGCTTTTGGATATAGCTAGACAAAAGGAAACTAAGAAAAACAAGGTAGGCACAGGTGTTATTTCAGTGGAACTTTTGACTGAGTAGACATAGTAGTCTTGAAAACTTTAATGGACTCCAACTTTCTGTTGTTGCAAAAAGAAAATATGCCAAATCTTGTTAGTTCTCAGACTTCTGAAGAAACAGCAGCAAAAAGTAACGTACAAATTATTGTGTAAAAATACAAGTATTTAATTTTGAAATCATATAACACACACACACACGTATATATCATGCTTTTAAGCTGGACTCCAAACATGAGAAACTCAATACATTAATAAAATTAAAAGTAGATAAATACTACTGTACCTCAGTAAAAGAAAGTTAATTTTGCCATATCATCTTATTTTGAAAGGTAAAATACCTAGTACACTAAAACTTGTCTGTATCTCAGAACCATGTCAGGTCATCTTATATTAAAAGTTTATTCTAAATGTGAAATAAAACAAGAGAAAGTTTCACTAAAAAAAACAGCCAGACAGATTCTTTGATAAAATAGCAAAATCTTCAGACAGCTGAAAAACATGGAAAATTGCCTTAGAGGTACACATTATTCAGACTGATAATTAACTAAAGGAATCAGCCAGCAAAAATGAATATTGTTTAATTTAATTTAATGTTTAAACACAATTTACTTTGTACAGAAAGTTATAATTTTATTATAAATAGTGCACTAGTAGTGAAATGTTTACTACAATTATAAGCATATTGTACACTAGGCTTAGAGATAACTTCACTAATATGTAGAAAAGTTGGTGATTTTGTTAAGCTACATAACACACTTCAAATTGTCCAATTTAATCAGAAAGCTAAGAAATATGGTACAAATAAAAATTGTTAAGCTATCCAAATATAGGTGTGTGTAAAACTTTAATAACATAGACAAAAGAAAACTTAAATAACTTTTCAAACATTTAAGTTTCTATTCATTTAAAATATAATAAATAAAGTATTTAGTTGAAACAAACGAGCTGTCATTCAGTAAATTGCTTCAAAAATCTGAAAGAACATTTGGTATTGTGTGTACTATTTACATCATTTGCTCTGTTTGGCTGCCTAAAGTACAGTAAAGAAGAAACCACTTTAAGATTTATAAGTTTACAATTCCTTTAACATGGTTGTTTCACTTATACTACAACACCATGTGATAGCCATTGTATTGATTATGCTTTCCACATTAAGCTATAAATATGTAAAAGGTATATGTTTTAGTATTTCATTGTTGTTGTTAAGACACCTAATGCTTAACTTTAATACACATTTCCATTAAAAATGTCTTTATTAAATCATTTGATTAGACAATCAGCAATTCCTTTCCAAGTTATATTTACAACTAGCATATAGCCCATCAAAAATGAAAGAAAGAAAGAAAGAAGAGGAGGCAGGAAAGTGAAGTCAAGGCAGTCAAACATTGGTATATTCATTTTTGAGCCAATTATTGGTAAAAATATATAGAATGTATAGAAAAGCCAGTGTGTTTGATAACACTACATTCCAACAATGCCTATTATATCATGTCCCATAGCAACAAAAGTATAACCTAATATTGTTGTTAGTCTATGTATTGAAAGTATAAATGAAATGTTTAGACAACCAAATTGGAAAAAATATTTGTGATTTCTTAATATAGAGTTTCCACTGATTAAAGAGGTTTGTTTTTTTACTTAAAATGTTGGTGATATAACAGAAAATAGTTGAATTCAGAAATGATTATGTTTAAAATTGAATCAATGTTTTTACTTCCATGATAAATTTTATGCACTTGGCTCTAGGCTAGGTGATCCCACACTATGTCTTTACTTTAGACTTATTATACCAACACTCACTACAATTATAAGGTTTACCACCCTTTCCCTCTCATGGCCCCCTTGCACCCTGTCACTAAAATCATAATGGTCAGATAGTAATCAAACTATTCTATCTGGATAAATGCATTTTGGCTTTTATGTCTCCTTCTATTACCAGAAATCAAGCATGATGTGACACACACTGGCTTTTATATAGGTTAGATGTGTGAATTAAACTGCTGAAATGTCAGTTTAATATAAGTTTATCAGTTACGTTTAGATCATTACGCATAAGAAGTTCAAATATAAAATGCACACTGAGCAACACACCTTATAAGTTCGCCTCCAGTTTCTTTTATCATGAAGCATTCTCTTCCATAACATTCCCATCACCTCTGGAAAGTGTTCATATGCAAAGGTGCTCTGAGCCAAGTCTTGCATCTGGTTTCCTGTGGGACCCCAAGGGTCATCATTAGTTGCTTCTCGCACTTTTGTCTCCACCTCTGTGTAGTTCATGACCACATTGGTGCTACAAAGTTTAAGTATTTTTCTGTTACAATCATTTGAATGGAAGGTAAGTACAATATTCCTTACTAGTAGGATAAGCATGTTTCAGAGATATTCAAAAACAATATAATGTCGCATTTACTGGAGAGTAAAGTTGTTGGTTTCACATTGACTTGTTAGAGCTCTTAAATTTATTCTGTGTTGTACCTTGTTCTATAAAAAAATACAATGATTTGCTAAGGAGAATTACGAAAATTATCCTTTGAAAGAAATTAGTATAACACTATTTCCATTACATCTGCACCTTGGATAATTGTTTATACATTCTGTTCATTCTAGTAAATATTTTGAAAAATGGAGGTCTCTTTCTTCTTATATTATTTCTATATATTTTAATAATGTCCGAAAATCAAATACAAGTTTGGATTGATATCTTTCCATAGAGCAATTGATTTGCATTGTGTTGAAATACGTTCTCTATAACCTTTAGCATTACAGTTCAAACTGTTGTTATTCCTGTAACAGTTCAATATTATACAACTGTAAATTATACGACAAAACATGAAAATAATAGAACAGTAATTGTAGACATGGAAAAGGTGAGAGTCTGAGTCAGATTCTAACTCCATAAATTCACAGACAAACCTTTACCAAAAATACTTAATTAAAAAATCTGATTTCTTGTAATGTTGTAAAGACTTGTAATGTTTACTAAAGGCTTGCCACATTTTGTGAAGATACATTTACTACATTACAAATTATAGTATGTGTAGTTTAATGGTTACATAGTGATTGCAAGGTTGACCAAAATAACAAAAGCCATATAAAGTAGGCTAACAAAAAAATAAACCACACTTTTGGAATAAAATATTAGTACAAAGACTTAAAAACATTATCTTTATTTGGAAAGTTTAATACACATTAGTTTACCACTTGTATGGTGGTTTGGCCTAGCAAATTTTCAATACTTTCTCTCTTTGCATTTACAGGTGTAGATTTATGTAATCTTCTATTATCTTGAAAATCAAGAAACAGAAACATCAAATATCAACAAAATCCAAACCACACATTTTACATATTCTTTTATAATGTTTTCCTTTTATCTTTAGCAATTTCTAATCTAGTAGAAATGCTAACAGTTTATTTTTATTAACCAGTATTCTTTCAGTATTAACCTTCTTTATAAATGCTTGATAAATTTTTAGACTTAGTTGTCTGTTGAACTAAAATTTAATTGAAACTAATATCCAAGCCATATTAATGAAAACTAAGCCTAAATACTTGTCTGTTGCTGCTAGCTCAATTTTTCTTCTATGATAGAACTTATTCTCATTGTTTCCTAATATACTCCTTTTCCAAAAATCAATATTCTTGTTTTATCTCTATTTACAATGAAATTAACAATAATTTCTTAACTAAAAAATATGTTGAAACCTCTTTTTTTGTAGAATAGAGTAAACAATTTAAAGGAGTTTGTAAAATTTACGAAATATGATAATCATATAACATTTTTAGTAAATCATTCATACCTGTATATGAAAAAACTGATACATGGATACACAACCTTCTTTTAACACTCTCTTGTTCCAAAACAATACTCTAACTTTCTTGTATATTGTTTTCAAATCATCAGTACTGTTTCTTTACTTCTATATATCATAGTTTTCTCTATTAAATCAAAAGATTTATAAACATCTATAAATCATACAAATAATCCTCCTTTCTTTTCTGAATTGATAACTGATAATAAACTGCTAAACACAGAATATCAAAAGTTGAGTAACCAAGATAAAAGCCCATCTGACATTCAGTTAAAATATTATCTACCAAAACATATTTAAAACTTTAAATTGTACAATTTGTACAAACAATTTTAAATACAAAAGTAAAATTATCCTTAATTACATGCAATGCTTTTACTTTCACTTTTAAATATAGAAACTATTATATTGTTTTCAACACTTTATTAAAGAAAACCAAAGTCATAGATACAAAAAAAAAATTTTTTT